TCAAACGAAAACAAAACAAAACAAAACAACACTAGGCACTCAATTGTGTCCAGCTGACAAATGTAGGAACATGGTGACCCAAAAACTTGCTTCTCTCTGGTGTTTAGGAGATTTACTCACTCACTAGTCAGAACTAGTTTGCTAGTTTATGAGGTTAAGCTATTGTGCAATATTGTTCAGCTGGCTCTGTGGGTGTTTATTTACAGATGGCTGCCATCTTGATTTATTGTCTGTCAAATTATAATTATTAAGGATGGAGTTAATTGTCATTTCAACCACCTGGTAATTACCCACTGTGCTTTCATGTGGTGACAAATCTGTCTTTTAGATCAAAACTAGAAGGTTCATAAGATATTTCACTTCCATGTTCATCTCCATTCATGTCTTGTTCGAAATAAAAGATTAGTAGACATTATTGATACTTTTAAGTGTAATTTGTGAGCCTTCAAGTACAAGAATTGCTGATTGTCGTAAATACTTTTTAGTAGTAGGACTGGTGTAACAAGAATCCAGTGACGTGAGTTACAATAATTGAAATTAAAATTACAAGTCATGTTCTTTCAAAGAGTGGTCTAATAAAAAATTTAACAATGCCCCTAGTATATTCCATCATGCATCACATAGAATGATGGTTTATTAGCCTCATTATTTGTTTGCGCCATTGTTTACCAAAGCCAATTTATCCTCATGCCCTCTGAACTTTTAGGACAGAATTCAGCAGAGACAGTGCGGTTACCCTAGTCTTATAAGGCGTTCGTCACTTCCACCTAAGGCTACAAAAGGGATTTTCTGCTTGCCTCATTAGGGAGAATCTGATAGTACCCATGGGAATAAAGAGAAAGAGAAGTTTAAGTGCCATAGAAGCTGCATTCCTCCTCCCATTTTTGGTCTCTAGTCTCTTCTTCATGTACTTTTCCTTTTTCAGCTTTTCTGAATGTGTACATTTTCAGGAGGGCATACATAATTTGTTAAATTAGGCAGCAGAGGGTCAGATGGTAGCTTTCCTACCAAAGCACTACCCTGGGATGCTCCCATCATCTGATCATCTTTTTTGTCTCAGGAAACCCATCAAGCAAGCATCATGTGTCCAGGCTTATCTAGCTTTTAGAGGAAGAGCATAGAAGGAAGAAGATCATGTCTCTCTGGCTCCTCAGTATTTCCATGCAGAATCACCTTGTATTTGACAAGAGCCAAATCAGAGTCTTTGGTGGCCATGAAGTCTCACCTTGGCATCTGCTCCGCAGTGAGACAGCCTGTGCTGATTTCTGCTAACATCCCTTCCCAGCCAAAGAGGCAGCCATCCAACAGGCCCAGAGAAAATCTGGGAGCAATTTCTGCTTTCCTTCACCCCGTGAGATTGTGAATCAGTTCATTGAGGAAGAAAAGCTCAGGGTTAGAAGTGGGTAGCTAGGACCACCCTGTCCTTCCTTCCTTCCTGCCTTCCTGCTTTTCTTCCTTCCTTCCTTCCTTCCTGGAAATCTTTGGCAAAAACACAGGGCTGTTAGCTTCTATAAAGAAAACGTGGAAAATCTGATAACATGTCAGTAAAATTCTTCTAATGGCAGATTAGGCCATCTCATCATCAATGCAAGATTATAACTGAGATAGATATTTCTGTAAAACTCTTCTCTTAATGCCAATGTGAGGATTATTGTATTCCTTGGCCCAACATGGAGACTAGGTCCATGAAGGGGAATTTTCTTTCTTGGTTGAAAGTGTACAAGAACTATACTTTATGAAATAAACAAAGCTCTGTATGAAACCTTAGTCTACTCCTAGCCTGTTCTATTCAGATATCATCAGGAACTTTTCAATGCAAAGTTGACAGCTAAGTTCTAGAGTGGTTTGAAAATTGTACTGAAAGAGTGGGTAACTCTTTGAGGCCATTCCATTCTCTAGGAACCATTAATTACTGTCATGATGATTTATATGAATGCATCCATTATCTTCATATCAGAAAAGTAATGCTCAGTATTTGCTTCAAAGTCTTGTGAGAGAAGTTGCTGTCTTTGTACCTCCTACAGAAAACAGTTGAATGGGAAGAGTTTAAATGACAGGTTTGGGGACAATGCTGTGCTGGTCAGATTCAGATTCTCCCTTGGTCTTTTGATACTGTATGAAAGACAAGCACAAATCCTCTTCTTTATCCTGCTTGTTGTTATGTCAACTTGGAATCTCAAAGGGGAAAGGAGTGAATGAAATAGCATATTTAAATTTATCAGTAGAAAATAAAGCATATCTATCACATTTTCTTTCCTTAAAATCATGGGTCCTAAAAGCTTGAGGAAGCAGCATTACTAAGCCCAGTAGGAACATCCTAATTACCATCTTGGCCAAAGGGTGGGTGGGAAGAATGATGACCTGAAAGTCAGCGGACCTGGGGTCCAGTCTTTGTCTGATATTGACTGGTCAGAGTACCTTGGACAACTCAATTCTTTTCTCTAGTCTCAATTTCTTTCCTTGATATGATGAGATTATCGATAGGATTTCTCACAAATCTGAATTCTCCCAGAAGTTGAATGCTGCTGGAGAATGGGTGAATCACTTGGCAAACCTCTAAGTCCTGGCTGAGTGTCTGCCAAGAAGCTTCCTCTTATCACCACTATCAAAACCTACTCTTAGGGCCATACAATTGTTAGCACCCATCAAATTAGTAATTTCATTCCTGGGAATTTACTGTAAAGAAATATACTCCTTGGGAAGAAGGAAAGAACTACATTTTTTAAAAGTTGCTAATCATGTAATTCAAAATTTGATGTAAGCTCAATGGCCAACAGTTGGAGAATGGACCAGATGGGCTGTTTCAGTCATGGGAACTACAAGGAGAAATGTTTTTGATAATACAAGAAAGCAAAAAGCATTTGCTCTGTGGATTGCAAATACGTATGCGAACAAGATAAATATAAGAGGAGCAGACATCGTTGGTATACCTTCTATGGGTTGGGCACCGTGCTAGGCATTTGATGATATTAATCATCTCACTTACTTTTCAGAACAGCCATGCAGATAGGTGCTATCATTACCAATTTACAGATTAGGAACCCAAGGCTGAGTTAAAGTCACTTGCCAGATCACTACCGCTGTTAATGGGCTAGTGCTCAAGATTCAAATGCATGAACAGTTGATCTTTGTTGCTATAGTAGTTCTTTGTTGTGATAGTAGTTATGATCTATAAAGTCTCAGTCTCTTTGAACACTGAATTAGTAAATACTGAACAGTTGCCCTTAGGGGAAATACAGGTTTGTGTTCCTGGAAGTCTCTGTTCACAATATTTTCATCAACCAATCAATATATTAATATAACCTTGTTTTCTGTGTGCTTCTGTTTAAGGATACCTTATTTAGTATATATTGTCCATTCATTGATGTTGAACTCATGGCCAATAGCACTATAAGCTCAAGCCTGAATGAAATTTATCTAACACACGTATTTTCTCTGTAAGGCACATCACAACCTTCTTGCACTTAGGAATGCTAGATAGCACTTCAGTACTATGTTTAGAGGTCATTTTAAACAGTGACATCACCAAAAAAAAAATGGGAAAAGCATGGTACCAAACAGACTGCGAAGAGGACACATGTTTACATCATGAAAGCTGAAACCAGAAGACAGTGTCTTCTTATTCAACCTCAGCTGAGAACAGGTGTTTTGGGCAACTCAAATTTTTCACTGCTCTGCACATGTACGAATAACTTCGAAATTGCCATACGGATTTTAGGGTTACAAATAATTTTAGCGGGTAAACAAATTCACAAATGTAGAATCCAAGAATAGTGAGAGCCGATTGTACATTCATTCATTGGGCAAATATTCATTGTGTCCCTATTATGTGCCAGACACTGTTCTAGTCACTGGGGATTCAGCAGTGAACAAAACAAAGCCTCCGTCTGACATTCTGGGGAAAGGGTAAATGCAGGTAGTAAAGTACATCATGGTCAAGATGGTGATAATCTATGGAGACAGATTACACTGGGAGTGGAGTAGGGAGGGATTAGTGGAGGGGACGCTATTCATACTGGGTAGTCAGGGGGAAGCCTGACAGGTAATATCTGAATGCTCAAAGAAATCAATTCATATGGACATGTGTGGAAAGAGCAATTTGGGAAGTAAGAACATGCAGTGTAGATGCTGAGCAAGAAACCAGGATGGCTGGAGTTGGGGGTGGCAGAGAGGAGATGAGATAAAGACTGGGGTTGGCAAATGATGTAATATTCTCGGACTTCAAAACCTGGGCTCTCGAAAGGAACATGGGATGAGGATGCAGTATCAGCACTGGGATGCATTCTAAGTTGTCATAAGGTTGGCAAAATAAAAAGACTGTGTGCTTTTGCTCCTGGGAAATGTTCCAGTAAGATCCAAAGAAAGAATCTTTGCAAAGGGGTGGAGGCTTTGCCAAGGCCCCCAGACCTCTACTTCATCTGAAGCTTCAGGGTGGGCACCTGAGGGTGCCTCTTTTAGGGAAGTGACTTAAAATCAGCTTGAGATTGGAGGAGATTCTCTGGGAGATAACCTGGCCCAGAGCTGCAATACTGAGGACAATTTCATCAGCATTGACAGTGCATCTGAGGAGACGCTGGTCACAACAAACAAACCATCCCCAGGACAACAGGAGGAGTGAAGGCAGAGGATTAACTTGTACAAAAACACTGCCCAACCAACTCAGCTCTGCTTACTGCACTCGTCAGAATATGAATGCTACAGCCCATGTTGGAGTCAGTTGCAAAACTCATCTGCAGTTAGACATCCTAAGACTCAACCCATACTACTGACTGATATGGAAAGTGAGGCCCAGCGAGGGAAAGTAATGAACATCCCATCAATCACCAAGGGAGGGGCTGAACCAGGATGGAAACTTAGCTCTGGCAAAACCATCATTCTAGACAGTTATTCCTAGAATTTTAAAAAAGAAGAAATTTGACAGAATTCCCAAGTTTGCAGAAAAGCCACTGATTGAGCTGTTGTGTTTATGTCCATGCAAGCAACTGCAGCCACCTCTGCAATTCAGTTTAGTGACTTTATTTACTTATTTATTTTGGCAACCTGGCCATTCGACATCTGCCTCTTGGAGTGCCCTGTGGAAAATTGTGTGGCCATAATATGAGCCTCTCCCAAAAGAAATGTTCTCAGTCAGCAAAGAGTCAAAGGAATTAAACTCCTGTCCTATGTTCTTTAGATCTAACTGAGGCAGTGGATCCTTCTTTAATAGCTTTTTGTAGGAAGGCCTGTTGTTTGTGAGGCTCTCTGGCTTCAGGCTTCTGCCTATCTTCTGTGAGGCACTGAATCCCAAAAGAAGTGGAAAGTGGTTGGTCAGGGATGGTGGTGTGCTGGTAAACCCACTTTCTAGGGGATGGTGAAGGAAAGCCTTGGTTTCCTGAATTTGCCCAGTATCTGTGGTGTAAATACTTTCCCCATGGTGGATTTCAAGCTACCAAGGATTCACAGCCCACTCTCATGCGCCTGCTCCAGCCATTTCCAGCCCACCTCTGTAGCTCTCTAACGAGCAGGGCCTCACTTGGATGAGACTAGAGAGGGGAGATGTAACTGATTCTGTTTAATTCTGTGAAGTCAAACCACACCTGGGAGGGTGTGTCTGGTTTCAAAGCCTACATTGTAAGAGGAACATAGGCACACTGAAAATTGTTCGATTTGGGCAAGAAGCAATTTCATCTGAAAAACCCACCAGGTGAGCTATTGCTGGAATGAGAATCCAGGGGAAGAAAAACACAAGGTATCCTGGCCATTGTTTCCAGATCTCTGTGGGGCTGTAAGATACTTTTCCTGAGGCGTGGAATCTGAAAGAATGGGATGGGTAGGCGTCTAGAAGTGGGAGGCTGATTTCAGCTCAACCTAGGACTTTTCAGATAAAGCCACCCAGAGAAAGGCAGAGCTGCCTGGCACCATGAGGGATGCCATCACCAAAAGAATAGCATAAAGAACATAGGGCACCCACTAGGTGGGGCTGTGGCCGTGGGGACTCCAGGGGCCCCTTCTAGTTCCTGGGGTCTGATCCTGCAACAGACTCTTCTTCCTTTTCCTACGTAGCCAGTTTTATCTTGTCACTTTCCACTCCCCTTTTCTCTTTCTCCTCTCTCCTGGGCTCTTTTTCTTAGCTGCCTTTAGCCTCTTTACTGGGTTGACCTTCCTTCTGGGACATTGACCTCTAGAGCTTTCTGCACAGAGCAGACCCAGCCCCTTCTCTTTCTCAGCACCCACTTACGCCTCTGGGGGAGAAAGCAGGGGCTATCCTCGTCTGATTTTTCCTTGCTTTCTCTTCTCTCTTCCAACATTCTCAGCTCCACATTTATGATTGAAGAAGGGCAAATAAACAAATTGAAACTGAAACTGAGCTTTGGCCATAAAGTGAGGACATCTGGGAGGCCTGTAAGGAAATTTACATGCTTGCCTGGTTTCAGGTTGCATATTTTGTGTTGCCTGGTAACAAGCCCAGGGTTCCCTTTCATGCTTTATTCTCCCCCTATCCCCTGTTTATAGTGTAATTACCACTGTGACATCATAATCCCTCATTGAACAGCTGTCAGGGGGGCCCAACTGCTGAGTAAACAGGGCTTTATAATCTCTCCTCCCACGGGCTGGTTTACTAAATAGATCAATATTTGGTTTGTAGGCACAGAGATTAGGAGGTGGAAATGTCTTTTGAAAAAGCCCAATCTCTTCCCAGGGCCCCGAGTGCACCTGAGAATGCTGAAAGAAAAGCCAAGTTCACGGACAGAAAAAGAATCACCCAAGCTGCTTTCACCTGCCTACGATTTCCCGAGAAGCCAGTTTGTCTTTAAGAAGTGAGACCCATTTGAGAATGAGTAATGTCTTAGGCTCTTTAATGCTTAGGGAATTCCACTTTCTTCTTTCGCTCGGCCTCCCCCTGAGCTCCCCTTTCTCTGTCCCCAACTCCATTTTATTTAATCTTTCTAAATGGATATTGTAGCCTCAGGGACTAAAAGAATGACACATGGATAAACAGGAACTAAGCTCCTAAGCTTTTCCCCTACCTGCCATTTTCCTCACCACGCATGAGGATTAGAAGCTGCACAAAGAAAGCAGTCTCAGAAGTTTGTCAAATAGAGATTTCTGGGTGATGGTTTGGGAAAGGATGATTTAGATCGTGCCTCTCCTGGGTCGGGAAAGTGACTGAAACACATAACAGCAGAGAACTTGAAGTGCTGGTTTGAGCTTCAGGAGATGTGAGTTCTAACCCCAGTGCTGCCTGTGACTTGCTCTGTGACCTGGGACAAGTCCCTTGTGGATACAACAGGATATGTGGGCTACAAGGGTCTCTGAGGCTTCTCCCAGGTAGGCAAAGTGGAGTGTTAGACCAAGCTGGGCTCAAAAGTTTGTCCTGACACTAGTAAACAGCAAAGTCCTCAAATCACCGGCAACTATTAAGAGTTGCACTTGCTTTGCTGTAAAAAACGGGAGAGTTAATGAATTCTCTGTGAAGACTAAATGAGATAATGAATGGGCACACCTCGCTGGGGGTGTGATACTTTGTAGGTGTCTTTTTAAAGCATAATTCCTATAAAAGTAATTGCATAATTCCTATAAAATCCTAAACTATGGTTTTTAAAAAAGGCTTGGAGGTAAAAATTAGAAGGAAAGGAAAGTAAAAGAATAATAATAGTCAACACCAGTGTAACCCACTCACAAGAGACAAAGTGCCTTTCACGTATATGATCTTAGGTAATCTTGACAACAACCTTGAAGAAGAGAAAAGCACCACATTTATTGATCTCTTTGGGCCATTCACTGTCCTAGTTTTCCCAATCATCTTGGTGGGTTATTTTCCTATTTTGAAGGCCGGGGTCCAAGATTACCCAATTGGTGAGTGTTGGAGCCAGCTCGGGTGATTCTGGTTCGACATCTCTAGATCCCATGACACAGAAGTGGCAGGATCAACGTGGAAAGCAAGGCAGCAAAATGATGAGGTGCTAAAAACTAATGACCTAGGTGAAGGAAAGAAATATTTACACAACATCATATGCTTCTTTCACAGTTGTCATGCAACATCATAGTACTTTGCTGATTCAATCATTTCACAGAGTAATTAGAGTCTGTCTCTGAAAAATAAAATACTGCAATTGGCTGCTGTCTCTAGGACTTTGTGACTTCCTTTGGACAGGTGGTTGCAAAAAGCCTATACCTTTAAAAGTGCCCCCGAAAGTAATGAATCACTGTGAAGACTAAATGAGATAATGGATGTGACACACCTCTCTGGGTACCCAGAATGGAGGAGATAGTAGGCTATGGCAGATGGTAGGGGAGGGGTTGGCTTCAGACAATCTGCAGAAACCCAGTTTCCTGATTTTTCTGTGCAAGGAATAGCACAGGCATCTGATAATTCTACTATTCTCTCTGGCTGGTGGCCGTCTCTTTGAAAGACTGCATGGTTTCAGTTCAGTTTCATATAGATCTGTGTGTAGATCTGTACAGCGATAACATTCCTTCGTGCTAAGTCAGTCCAAGATAACTAACCTGTTTCCAAGATCTAATTTTGTACGTGGGAATCTTGCCTTGCCCTGATTTCCAGACCATAGGCAGGCTTGCAGGCTGTAGCAGGGGAAGACCCCATGCTTATTCTGGTGCCCTGAGCAAGGCCTCCTGCTCTACTGTTAGGCAGAAGCACCTGTTCCCCACAGGAGGCGCTGTCTTTTGCTGGAAGAGCTCAGTTTCCCTTAAGGGGAAGTTCCTTGGGATTTAAGGCCTCATGACTATCTCAAAACCTGTGTTTATTGGCCAGTAAAGAAAATAAATAATGTGTACTAAGGGTTCCTTCCTATATCAGCCTCTGAATTATATGCTATTTTTCTTTAAAGCTACAGCCCTCTGGTGACTACCCATAAATTAGTAGTTCTCAAACTGTAGTGTGCATCAGAACCACCTGGAGGGCCTGTTAGAACACAGGTTTCTCTGCATCCTGAGAGTTTCTGACTTAGTAGTTCTGGAGTGGAGCCTGAGAATGTGCATTTCTGACCAGTTCCCAGGTAATGCTAGTACTGCTGTTCAGGCGACCACACTTAGAGAAACACTTGCCTAAACCATTCACCGCAGCTTGAGTTTGCAGAGCTGCTGGTGGCTGATTTCTTTTGGAACTTTCCACATTTGTGTGTGTGTGTGTGTGGTTAGCTACTAGTTTGTTCCCCTTTTCCACCACAGAGTTTTAGGAATGCCTTTCTCCTCACAAGCAAGAATGCAAATGAAGTTGCTTTATCTGGTATTATTCTCCATACCCTCTTGCAGCCTATACAGTTTCAGTTTGTTTTTTGGAAAAATCCCTAATCTGTTTTCCCTTTCACACCTCTGTATCTTTGGACTTGCTGTTTGCTGTCTGGGCTGGAAGGCCTCCCTGGCTTTGCCTGGTAAATTCCAAATTGGATGTCAGAATGGAACTCATGCCGTGATCCCAGTAGAGTCATCCCTGAACCAGCCTACCCAAGCAGAGCTCCTTTTCTTCTCTTTCTCTAACCTTTTAGCTGCTCGTCCAGTCTTTCATTCTAGCCCTTAGCACATTGTAATGCCAGGATCCATTTGCAGGCTTCCCCTGCCCACTAGACAAGGAGATACTGAAAGGCAGAGACCAGGAATGACTCAACTTGAGGCTCCCTGAGTATCAAGCGTAGTGGATCTTAACCCTGGCTACACCTTGGAATCACCTGTGGAACTTGCCAGAAAGTTCCAACACTTAGGTCTTTCTCCACATCAATTAAATCAGAATCTCCGGAGAACAGAGCTGCAATTAGGGCCTCCATTCTCAAGTTTCCTAAGGAGAATGGAGAATGCCTTTAACATTCTGCAGCTGCATTCTGACTGTGTGCCTGTTGTTTGTTCTCTGTGATACAGAATAGACTTTATGGGTCCCATTTTGTAAGTGAAGAAAATGCTCTGAGAGCAGATCATTGACTCAGCAAATCATTGGTTCATTGGTTTATTAATTAACTCCCTATTCATTCATTCATTTGACAAGTATTTTTGTGGTATCCACCATGTGTCTGGACACATTAGTAAATAATAATAGACATTGTCCCTAGTGTCATGAAGGTTTCAGCCTAGTGAGTGAGGTCGACTGTGATCAATCACCCAAATAAATGTCAAGTCACACTCCAAATAAATGCCATGAAGGAGGAAGTTTTACTCAGGAGAGAGAACCACAACAGCTTTTGGAGTTTGTAACAGGGGAGGCGTTGACTAAGTCCTGGAGGACAAGGATGTTTTCCCTGGTCAAGGTCTGTTGACTAGAGCGTGGCAGGATGAGACATTCACTGGGTGAAGAGGGAAAGGCAGAGTGTCTCAGGTAGAGGGAGCTGTGGAAACCAGCAGAGTCCAGGATCCTTCAGCCAGGTGTACCCCATGGTTCCCGGCTCCCATCCTCAGCCTTTCTCTTCACCATTGCCTTGGGGCAGCAAGCAGGGCTTTAGGGAAGTGTAATCGTTGTGCAGGAGAGTGTGTGTACACACACACACAGGTGTGCATGCATGTACATATACACAAGCACACACATGCATAAACACATATTACATACATACATACGCCCACACGCCCACATCACTCCTTTGCTCAGATCAGAGCTAGGCTCTCTGCCTGCGGCTATGCTGAAATGTTGATGCCCAAAGACTCCTTTCTCCAGGAATTAGAACAAGTTTTAAACCACATTATCTCACTGACTATGCAGAGACCTCTGACAAATGGTGTCTTTTCATTCCACCAGCCTGGGGCAGATACAGGGAACCGAGACAGCCGGCAGACAGGATCGGAGGGTCATGCTGCCCAGAAACATGGGGTACACCCTCACCCAATCTTGATTAAGCTCTTCCTTTTTGCTGTTGGAATAGACCAGAGGAAGGACTGGGATGCCCTGTCACTCAGCTCCAGGCCTTTTAGTTGTTCATGTCATATCAATTTTTCTTTTTTCAAAATGCTTATTTTTAAATGCTAAGAGAAACCCTTTTGTCCTACGTAATAGAACTTGGCTTTTAAGCATTGCTGCTGATAAGAGCCTGTGGCTATCCAAAGGGAAAACTTCATGCTAGTCAAGCTAAAAGACAATCTCCTAGGCTTTTTATGTGTGATGCTGTATTAGTCCGTTTTCATACTGCTGATAAAGACATACCCGAGACTGGGAAGAGAAAGAGGTTAATTGAACTTACAGTTCCATGTGGTTATGGAGGTTGCAGAATCCTGGCGGGAGGTGAAAGGCACTTCTTACATGGCAGCAGCAAGAGAAAATGAGGAAGACGCAAAAGTAGAACCCCCCGATAAAACCATCAGATCTCATGAGACTTACTATCATGAGAACAGTATGGGGGAAGCCACCCCCATGATTCAAATTACCTCCCACCGGGTCCCTCCCACAACCCATGGGAATTCTGGGAGTACAAGATGAGATTTGGGTGGGGACACAGCCAAACCATAT